TTCAGTTTGTTTCTGCTAATTTCAGCTTTTTGGCTACTTTTTAGCTATTTTCAACTAATTTCAGCTTTTTTTTGTTTCAGTGAAATTCACCTTTTTGCGACATTTTCAGCTTCTTTACTGCTTAATTCAGCAAAACGTGTTGTCTTTGGTTTAATTCAGCAAACATGCTCTTTCAGTTTGTTTCTGCTAATTTCAGCTTTTTGGCTACTTTTTAGCTATTTTCAACTAATTTCAGCTTTTTTTTGTTTCAGTGAAATTCACCTTTTTGCGACATTTTCAGCTTCTTTACTGCTTAATTCAGCAAAACGTGTTGTCTTTGGTTTAATTCAGCAAACATGCTCTTTCAGTTTGTTTCTGCTAATTTCAGCTTTTTAAAGCTCCTTTTCAGCGCTTTTCAACTAATTTTAGCTTTTTCATTTCAGTGAAATTCACCTTTTTACGATATTTTCAGCTTCTTTACTGCTTAATTCAGCAAAACGTGTTGTCTTTGGTTTAATTCAGCAAACATGCTCTTTCAGTTTGTTTCTGCTAATTCCAGCTTTTTAAAGCTACTTTTCAGCTCTTTTCAACTAATTTTAGCTTTTTCATTTCAGTGAAATTCACCTTTTTGAGATATTTTCAGGTTCTTTACTGCTTAATTCAGCAAAACGTATTGTCTTTGGTTTAATTCAGCAAACATGCTTTTCCAGTTTGTTTCTGCTAATTTCAGCTTATTTTTTGGCTACTTTTCAGTTCTTTTCAACTAATTTTAGCTTTTTCATTTCAGTGAAATTCACCTTTTTGAGATATTTTCAGGTTCTTTACTGCTTAATTCAGCAAAACGTATTGTCTTTGGTTTAATTCAGCAAACATGCTTTTCCAGTTTGTTTCTGCTAATTTCAGCTTATTTTTTGGCTACTTTTCAGTTCTTTTCAACTAATTTTAGCTTTTTTGTTTCAGTGAAATTCACCTTTTTGCAATATTTTCAGCTTCTTTACTGCTTAATTAAGCAAAACGTGCTTTTTCAGTGACGACCCCTGTTAATTTCAAGGTCAACATAAAAGATCAAGGTCATGTGAATCATTGTTCCGCATGTTTTACCTTCTTTTGTCTAAATTAAAGCTTTATCCTTTCAGCAGTAAGCATTCACACTGCATTTTTGCAGGAAATGCAAATTCTCTTGTTTTAGCTCTGACCACTCTCTCTCTCTCTCTCTCTCTCTCTCTCTCTCTCCAAGCTTCAGCAAATTCATTCAGCAACTTGTTTACGCTGCTTTTTTTTCCCTATTTTTGCAAAATGCCATTTTGGAAACAGTCATTTTAATTTTTATCTTCAGAATTCAGACGCACATTAATATTTAGATGTGACACTTTTGATAGCCTGACTAAAATGATTATTTTTTTCACTTACAACCATCAACAGGATCCCTTTAATCACTGAGCGTGTGCAGAGCACGAACGAGGTGATGCAAGTTATGATGATGACGCAGTCAAACAGCACCGTCAGGTAAAGGTTTTTAGCCGCTGTGGAAACAAATAAAATGTTTTAGAATAGTAACTTGAACAGAACTCCACAGTCATGAACACGATCCTCTGCATTCAAAGCAGCTCAGTGAACTTACAGGCTCCGTTTACTTTCCATTCATTGCATTCATTGATGTACACATCTGCGTCCAGGTCCACCTTAATCCTGCCGCTGTGAGCGTAGTTGTCGAAAGTTATCTGTTGACCAGACAGACATTTTTTTAAGATTTTAGGAATCTCTTTCTCAACAGAAGCCTTAGTTAAATCATGCAAACATTTCATCACCCTGTTCTCTTATTTGTGCACATAAAGCATTCAAACTCGTTTCACTTTTCTACACTCTGAATAACTTTTTAACAAGGCTTTAAGTGGCATACGAGAACGGTGAAGTCGTAGCAGTCTGGCAGCTCGAGATGTTGCACCGTTTGTAAATTGACGCCCTTCAGAACGAASGTGATCGTCACGGAGAGCATCCTGGAAGAAAGAGCGGTTGTGTAAACTTCATGTGAACTAAAAAGCAGCAGCAGCGGGGGAGGATGACGACGCTGCTGTCAATCAAGTGTACATGTGAGCGTTTGTTACGAACCTTTTGAAATGCAGTGTTAGATTCTGAAGGGAGTCGCGTGGAGATACGGACTGCATTGGGTAGATTTCAAGGCATTCTGTTGAAGTCGGACAAAACAGAAAAAAACTAGATAAAACACATTTTACTGTCAGTGTTTCTGAAAGAGTAGAACATACTAATGCCACCAGAACTAAGAGCAGAGGTTTTCTTTCGGCTGTTGCTTTCTTGCCAGAGCAAGCGAGCTCGAATGAAAGATTTGGCGATTGTTTTTACACAACGCAACCAGTGGCGGAGCCAGACATTTTTCTCAGGGGTGGCCAGACTGGGACCATACTCACACAGGGGTGGCCAGGAAAATTACATATTTTTTTAGTGCTGTACCGAACTATTATTTTCTAATCGATTAATCTAGCTATTATTTTTTCGATTAATCGATTATTCTAACAACAAATCTATAAG